CAAGTGTATTCGTACCATCTCACCCATGCGGAGCGAACATGGAGGATGACCTCGGGACTATGTCTATATTGTGGGGAGCATGGACATTTGATTCGCTCATGTCCTATCCGACCAGCATGACCCACGGTGAGTATTATCCAGCTCAGTCCTCAAATTGTTACATTGACTCAAATTAATGTATTATTAATGTCATCTCAACAATCCCTTTCAGCGCAAGCCCTTGTAGACTCTGGTTCTTCCGGTAACTTCATATCCCGCAACACACTCCAAAGACTTCAACTAAAACCGCTAAAGAATGCTCATGTTCTGAATATCCTCACCATCCAAGGAAAGCCGTTGGGTCGTGGTAAAATCCAATTATGCTCCCCCACCATTACGCTCCACATTGGGTTCCTTCATGAGGAACTCATCTCTTTTCTGGTGCTGGAGGATTCCACCATGGAGATCATCCTGGGAAGCCCCTGGTTATCCCAACACTCTCCAATAGTTAACTGGACCACCAATGAAGTTCTACAATGGAGTGAGTACTGTCTTTTGAACTGTATGGCCAAAATTCGTCCACTGCCACCTTGTCTCCTCCCTGTCTGTGCTACCTCCATAGAGAGCCCCCAACCCACCTAAACTCACAGCATTCCCTCTGAATACCGGGAGTTCCAGGATGTGTTCAGCAAGCGGGCCGCTACTGAATTACCACCTCATCGGCCATGGGACTGTGCCATAGATTTGCTGCCTGGAGCTCAACTCCCAAAGGGTAGAGTGTATCCATTGTCCATCAAGGAGCAAGGAGCTATGGAGGACTACATTAAGGAGGCTCTCCAGCAAGGCGTCATCCGTCCCTCCACATCACCGGCAGCATCCAGTTTCTTTTTCGTGGGCAAGAAGTAGGGCTGAGCGATTTGGGGGAAAATATCAAATTGCGATTTTTTTTTTTGACAGATATTGCGATTGCGATTTGATTTGCGATTTTAAATTTGCAAAGCTAAGCTTCAGCTCAATATTGCCAATAATGTGCAGCACAGTATGGGTATCATTACCCTGCTGAAAAAAATCAATAGAAACTTCCATTAAACCATTACAAAATTCCTTTTTGTTTTGGGCATTATTCCAATAGGAATTACTGTTGTTCTATTGGTTGCCATCTGCCAGATTACATCCCACCAATAGAATCCATCA